TAGGAACTCTTAAGGGCACAGATAAATGCAAGTGAACCCATGAAGGCATTCTAAAATCTTAGAAGTCAATGTCTATCTCAGTTCTCATCTTATAACAGTGAGGTCTGCATTCCATTACTTGTTGTCTCAGAATAAAATGTTTAATATTACCAAATCACTTCAAGCCTTTCCTTTTTATTATTGCCTATTACTGTAGTATGTTTAAAATTACTACTATTGTTTATACAAAGAAAATTGTGCTTGATTTGACTATAGATTAATGCCCTACTTAACTGGAGATGATGTCATTCGGTCCATAAAGGAATTACTATATCAAATAGCTGACTAACATCCAATCTGAATTTTAAAATGATCATGAAAACCTCACAAAGCTTTGTTTTCAAAGTTACTGTAGTCTAGCTAATCATTGTAGATTAATTTTTCTAGTTAGGTAAACTTTTGATTATCCTCTAACCTTTACCCTAAAACAGAAAAACTGAACTTACATTAAACATTCAGCAATACCTTACACAATATAGTGCTTGATTGCAATTTCCCTGCATAACTGTTTTGTAGAAGATGCTGAATGTGTTATTTCTGCACTGTATTTTTCAAGACCTGATGTGCAACTGGGTAAGTGTGCTTGGAAATTATCTTGATAAAAGAGATTTGTATACCCATTCCCAAACCTTATTTCATACACCTCAGTAAGTTGGTTGGAAATATAAAAAAAAGCTCCTACCTAAGGGTTTGAGAGGGCTTTTGAGGTGATACTTTTAACTTAGCGTTTAAGCGTAATTCCAGATGCCACCACATTTAAAAGTAAGACAGATACTGGTTGCAAATCAGCATGTTAAAACAAAAAGAAGCTATAATACAGGCTGAGGAAAGTTCTACTGGTTCTCAGCTTGGAAAACATGAAGATTCCAATGACTTTGTGTGTAACACAAATCCAGTTTATGGAGATAAAAAAAATCTCACATCTGTACCTCAACATATTGGAAGGTACATAACAGTGATATAAAAAGAGTTTAATTTTCTTTCCTAAAACATACCTGTTAAAACCAGTTAAAAACTGATGCTGCTTTTATTCACTCAACTGTCTTCAGTAGTTATAAAATGTTGTACTGTTTATGAAGAATTCATTTAGAATACAAGGATGTGACTTCCAAATGTCTTTGAATCATTCACATAAATATGCATGCATGCCATTTATAACAGTAGCCTTGATGAGAACACACAGTGTAACTGGCTGCAAGCAACGCTTAAGAGGTTTACATTAAAACAGAATATAGAATGGTGGTTAGAAATCACAGAACAGGTGACACCTTATTCTGATAACCTGGTGATAAAAACTGTAGGGTATGATGTATAGGCAGTGGTGACACTACTTTACTATACTGACTGAACAATATCCTAAGAATATTGTTCAGTTTTGGCAAGATACAATACCCAAGGCAGGTCATATATAAAATAGTTAAAATTAACAATATCAAAAGAATAAATGGTGATTGCCTTCTAAATTGTTTGAAAGTTTATTTGAAAATGAAAATTTAAGATTTGAGATTTTATTTTGCCGTTTATGATAATGGTAGTTTAATTATTTTAAAAAGACTACTAAGTTTGTGATTTGATATGAAGCAGTTAGCTTCAGGGACCTCGAATGCACTCTTCCTTATTCTACTATTACCTGAGATTAAACAGCAAAATAATGGAATACAGTAGGCAAACAAAAAGTTCAGCTAATTTAAAGAATTCCTGTGGTCCCAGATATTCTCTGTGACAGTAGCTAAAAAGTTTTCCACACAGTCTGAACTGATCCTGTCTCCATCAAACCTATCGGTAGTATATGTCAGAATACTGCCTATTCTAGTAGTTCAACCACTGAACCCCTTGGCCTTCTATCAAAGTGAGCCCATGAAATTATACCAAGGAATTTCTACATTTGAATGAAAATATAAATTTTCATCTTGCTGGTTGATTAAAAATAAAATAGCAGCTGTTTGAAACATACATATACATATATATAGCATAATATATAAGAGTTGGTTGAATTGTATATTTTGTATTAATTATGTTCTGCAAGAAAATAAACTATGCAAAAAGCCTTTTTTAAGAATGGACAGAAAACCTATTGCAGGTATTAAGTTACTGAATAATACTTGTTTTCAATATGGTATTGGACAAATGCCCAGACATATAATGAAGTATAAATTGGATACACACTTGACACGTCAGTAAACCTCATAAACAATTTTACTAATTATCTGAATCAATTCAATGATTTATACAAATTAAGATGGAAATCAGGCAGTGTTGTATTATTACCCTTACAAATGTGCAAACACACTCCAGATGAACTGAATCTGGAAATGATACAACAAAACTTATTCTCTATATTCAATGTTTATCCAAGAAAAATATTTAAAGTAATATCCAGACATGGTAAAGTGCTTGCTTAAAAGATAATGTAGACTCATTTATCAGACTTGGATGAAAAAGATTAAATTTAAACTGAAATAATGTGAATTTAAATTCATGGGGGAGAGCAAGGGAGATGAAGTGTGGGGACAAGGGGAACAGAAATTGTGGAAGGGAATAAACAGCTTGTTGTAACAGCTGTCACTTTTTCTTTGCATTAAACCTCCACCACAACAAACCCACACAGTTTTCGTTCACAAAGACAAGAAGGCCAAATAGACTACTTTCATGCTGAGAATAGTTATAATTGCCAATGCAACCTTATGTCTTCAAGAGATAGAGACCTTCCACAAACAAATGCCAATGGCTGTGATGATGTATACTTGCTGGAAATACAGAGCATTCATTCATTCATTCATTGCACATTCAAGACCAACTCTCTCCACTGATAAATATAGCTCCATATAGTTAAGACCCCTCATTCACCAGGGAGTGTTGTAAGAAAGTAAAAACTAGGAACCCATTATACATCACAGGCAGGAACAAAGCAATTGTTACCTATTTCCAAAGAAAACAACATGTACTTCCTAACAACAAAGTGTGCATAAAAATTACCAGTTCCACACAATCTGAAAACATGCCATGTCAGACTTTGTACTGATATTTATAACCAATCCACTAAAAGGTAAAATAGGTTGTTTGAGCTGTTCTACTGAGTACAAAAATCTCACAGTTATATAAAATGCACAAGTTACTACATAACCTGTAGAAAAAGTGTGGGAAACTACTTGCCAGCAATGTAAAAGAGGAAGAGGTGATTCTTTCATTTTCTGGCTTTTAAAGGATAGGTGAACTGGAAGAAACAACACACACGTTTGGTGCTTGAAGGCGTCTAACACCTCTAGTTAGCAACTCCTTAGACAAGTCAGACTTTGTAGGGGAGATCAAGAGTAAGCTTCCATTTCATGGATGTAATAATGAAACTACAAGAGTGTAGGGCACTGTTATGGAGACAGGGTCAACGTGCTTTCATTTTAGAATCAGTGCCCTTTTTTATGGCTACAAATAGATGTCGGATTTGTCCTGGGATAAACCATTTTATCTGGGACAAAATACAATCTTTCAGATGCCCATGTCCATTGTCCCAGGATAAATCCTAAAAAGGTTGACAAGATAAGAAGTAGCAACAGTTCAACCTGGGACATCGCAAAGTGTGTCTGAACAGTTATCCACGGATTGCATAATTGAATCAATGTCAGAAAAGCAGCTAATTAAACCTTGATTAGGAGGGTGATGTGTGTACACGCCAATCCTAGAATACTTCTGTTCTGGGACAAACACAGGCACATGTCCCAGAACAAATGCAACATTTGTTCCTAGCCTAAGTGTTATTGTACAGAAAGGATGGTAATTTTTAGAATGTCAAAATTCAAAATTACAGTAGTTGCACATTTTATTAAAAAAACAATACTAGGACTATTTAAACACACTTGTTAACATCTCACTGTGAATTTGGATTTCCAAGGACTAAAGAGATATTAATGCCAAAAGAGCAAAGATGTGATTTCATATTGTTTATCCCAGATAGATTAGCACATTATTTTAAGACAGGTATCACAGTGATGTCATTACTTTTTTCATCACTTAAAAAATAGCAAAATTCTGTGAGCCACAAAATTGCAACTACCACCATAGTGACTATCTGTTGAATTTGTTCTAAATACTAAAATCTTCTCAGACAGTCATGGAGATTTGCCTACAGACAGAGGACAATCCTCAAAAGTGACTCTGAAAATGTTTTCATAGCTGCTGTGAGATAGCTCATTTTATATATGAATTCTGGCCCAAGAACAAGCTAAATGTAGGTGTTAGGGATTACGGCTTTATGATAACATTATTTTATGCCATGTGTGCAGCTGTAAAATTAGCAATGGAGAAAATCTGTTGTTAACGTTCAGCTTTTATGGATCCTTTATTAATTCTAATAATCTTATCAATTGATAATTGCACCTAACAACATAGCTCTTCAGATTATATCATCATAGCATGAACTCAACATTTCTGTTTATATGGAAATGTTTCTCAGACTTTTTCAGAAGCAATTACAAAACAATTAGGTAACAAACGGTATTTTCTGAGACCTCTGCATTACCTCAAGAATGTATGGGGAGACAGAAAAGCCATTTTTTCCACTTTCCAAAAGAGTGCAATATCTATCTTTCAGAATACACTGTTGTAAAACTTACATTCCCATTTTGAGAGGAATTTACAAATAAGAGAGGAAGAAATAGAAGTTGTACATTGATGACAATTTCATAAAAATATATTTGCAAATTCTTGGTTTTTTACAAAATAAAAGAACATGGATTAATGTAAACCCTCTTTGTAATAGGAATTTTAAATTGGCCAATTAAAATGCCATACTACCTAGAAAATATTTCAACAAACTATAATTTTTACACTTCTTAGAAAAATAAAAATACAGGATAAATGGAAGTGTTATATTAGCTGTCTATCACTAGACAGCTAAGAATAGGCTTATAATACTCAATTAACAAACATTTCCACTTATTTAGCAAGAAATATAAAGTCTTGCTTACCTGCAAAAGCACTGGGAAATCTCCCCTTGGCCATACAAAGGAAACAAAAAAGGCGTATTGCCGTAACGGCCAAGACAATGAAGAAATTTTTTTGTTGCCTTGAGCCCATCCGTGGTGCTGCTGTCACTCTCTGATACCATTGCAATAGAATGCAGAATAAAATGTTGCAAGTTAGGTGTTAATTTCTGGGATTTTAAGTATTGTGAAAATGTACAGTCCTTGTAATCTGTTTCAGGGGGAAAAAATACAATTCAGGTAAAGGATGCAGCTTAACAGTGGAAATTTTCACATTATAGTTTACATTTTAAAAAATATCCTTACATTTTAATATTTTAACACATTAAAGAAGAGAGAAAGAGAAAAAGAAAGAGAAAACATTTTAACAACTCAATTTTCCAGTATGTTACTAAAACTAAGCAAAGAAATGATGGAAGCTAAAGATGGACTGTCAACCTTGATTTTAATCAATAAAATTCGTATAAAAATGTATTTGTTAGAAAGAAAGAAATCTAAAACCTGTGCAGCCATCCCAACAGCATATCTACCATGCTGTGTAGAAATACTTTGAGCTAACTGTGAATGCACTAGCTTGCCCACTGAGTCTACATGGCACAAGAGACTTCACACACAATACCCCCAAGCTTGCTTTGTACATCTTAGCTCTAAAACTAAACCAGCAGAGCTAATTAGCCCAGGGCTCACCACAGTGCTAATATGACTTGTCCTTGGAGCTAGCTCAGGATATCCATGCAAAAGGCTGCTTTGCACTGTATAGGTGTACCCCAATAAGGAGGTAGCTGTTTGGGAAGTTATAGCAAGAGTGGAAAGAG